TAAACTGCTTTCAATTTTGGTGATTTTTTTTATTTTTTGTGGGGGGGGGGGATAACTGTAGCTTTACAGAATTGTTCTACCTCACGAAACCTGTAGAAACAGTAATAGCAGTACAATTAATTCTTCTTTAGACTACAATTAAAATGCACCTAAGAAAATAATATCACTCGAAGTGGCTCACCATGCAGTATCGCCTTCTCGTCTCGAGAACACTTGCAATAAGAAAGTGAGTTCCATTTTCCTCCCAGCTTCCTTGACATTGAAAACCTAAGAATTCAGATAAGAGGCAGTTATTTAAGTAGCTAACTTGAACCACTTGAGTTTATTATTACAAGTCAGGCTATTCAGGTTATTGGTATTTGAAAACTTACAAGTATTTTTGAAACTTTCCTTCGCAACACTGAGTCTGAAACTTGCTACGGATTTCGACGATGTAAAATGTTAAAAATAGTTGTTTTATGTGTCACTTGGTGGACATTTATTTTAATCATTAAATGGCATGGCGCTAGGAAATATCATATCTGTACTTATCAACTACAAATCGATAACTCAAACTGTGAATTATGAAGATTTTGATTCCTTCAAGAGAGTGTGGTAGCCGAGAGCAAAGACTAAACAATAACAACATCTCACATGTATTCATACGCTACTTCGAAACTTCAGTAACGTCTCTTTCAAAAGCTGTTTTTGAATTTCGCGCAAAGCTACTTGAGGCCAACTGCGCTAGCCGTCCCTAATTTTGAAGTGATAGATTAGAAGGAAGGTAACTAGTCAACACTACCCACCGCCAATTATTGAGCTATTCTAATCGAATAGTGGATTCAACCATTACTCGAGGCCAACTGCGCTAGCCGTCCCTAATTTTGAAGTGATAGATTAGAAGGAAGGTAACTAGTCAACACTACCCACCGCCAATTATTCAGCTATCTAATCGAATAGTGGATTCGACCATCACTCGGATAACATCCCTCAAGCTTGGAGCGCGAGTTATATTTTGGCGGTAATTGGTCGCGAACTGGGGAACCTTTGATCCACAGTCTGGCACGCTAACCAGTGGGGCACGCTAGGCCCTTGTTCAAAAGAGTTTGATTCAGAAGTTTCGCACGAGGCCAATCAAATGGTTTTTTGTGTATAGCCATCTTTAATTTTGAATTAATAAACCAGAAGGAAGGCAACTAGTGAATAGCACTCACTGCTACATTTGGCTGACCGTATATTGGGATTTGATCTTTATTCTTATAACTCTCCCACAACCTCAAAGTGTGAAGATAATTTTGGACACAAGAGGCTGCGAACTATAAACACTCAGCTTTACAACTCGAGCATGCTAATCACTAGGACACGCCCAGCTCTTCAAAATAGCTACGAAATAGCATTGCTGCTTTATATACTTTATATGTATGATAAATAATTATCAGATCATTAACTTAAACATCATGATATCCAGTTGACAAGTTTTCTAGATACGATTTGATTACCATTGTTTCTGAAGATTGACAAGTTCTCTAGATATGATTTGACCATCATTATATCCAGGAATTGACAAGTTCTCTAGATACAATGTGACCATCGTTATATCCAGGGATTGACAAGTTCTCTAGGTATGATTTGACCATCGTTATATCTAGGGATTGACAAGTTCTCTAGATATGATTTGACCATCATTATATATGGGAATTGACAAGTTCTCTAGATCTGGTTTGACCATCGTTATATCCAGGGATTGACAAGTTCTCTAGATCTGGTTTGACCATCGTTATATCCAGGGATTGACAAGCTCTGTAGATATGATTTGACCATCATTATATCCAGGAATTGACAAGTTCTCTAGATACAATGTGACCATCGTTATATCCAGGAATTGACAAGTTCTGTAGATATGATTTGACCATCATTATATATGGGAATTGACAAGTTCTCTAGACACAATGTAACCATCGTTATATCCAGGGATTGACAAGTTCTCTAGATATGATTTGACCATCATTATTTGTGAGGATTGACAAGTTCTCTAGATACGATTTAACCATCATATATCCGGAGGTTAACTAATTTTCTAAATATGTATGCAACATTATTATATAATTAGTACACGGAGAATTTCATAAACCTATAATCTTGCTTACTCATAAAGCAATGCTTACTTTTTACTTTGTTTTTTGATGGACATTGCGTCCGGAATTCCAGTTGATCGTGCTCATCACACGCTGCTGAAAGAACTGACCGCTCAACGCAAGCACGGTCATCCAAACCACCGGCCACTAGCTCTGCAAACTGTGGTTTCGATTCTATCATTGTATATTCTCCCATTACTGGACAGCCGACCTTCCTGGGGTCCTTGGCTACAAAAAACATCAATCAGATTCAAACCTATGTAAAACTCTTTATATTTCTTATTAAAACACAACTAAATACGATATGACCTTGACCTCTGACCTGCTTATTGATAGAAATCAATAAAAATATTAAGTAATCTTCAAGTGTGTCTAACTTTGAGTTCTTTCTCAAACTACATCATCATCCTATAGCACAGCTTCTCCATTTCGATAGAATACCAAATATTCCGTTTTTCATAATTTCATCGTTATTAGTTCTTTTTTAATGCACATATTTTTGAGTTACTTAATTCATAAAGTTTATTTAGTCTATTTACCAATATGTTTAATCATATTTAAACCTCCGCATGTCAGTGGAGGACTAGGAAAACAGTGCTACGTTAAACAAACATGATTTACACAAGTTGTATTTATAGTTACTTTCAAGAACATGAAATATTTTGCGATTATTTTCTTATCAGTAATTAAAATACGTTTTTTTTAATTGATAAACGAAATATGATACTATATTGATTTTCTCTCTTCTACTCTCATTATTGAAACTATAGTAATTAAAAATTAATTTACAACGAATATTTCATTAGTCAAAGAAAAAATAATGAAAACTTATAGTTCTGTAAGCATAATCAACGTAAAAAATATCAAGTAAAGTTATAACAATACATTAATTACAACATATGGTTGTGTAGGTATAACCAGAGTAAAAAATGTCAGATAAAGTAATAACAATACATTAATTACAACATATGGTTTGGTAAGTATAATCATATTAACAAAGACCAGATAAAGTAATAACAATACATTAATTGTAACATATAGTTGTGTAAGTATAGCCATATTAACAAAGACCAGATAAAGTAATAACAATACATTAATTACAACATATAGTTTGGTAGGTATAATCATATTAACAAAGACCAGATAAAGTAATAACAATACATTAATTACAACATATGGTTGTGTAAGTATAACCTTATTAACAAAGACCAGATAAAGTAATAACTAAACATTAATTACAACATATAGTTGTGTAAGTATAACCATATTAACAAAGACCAGATAAAGTAATAACAATACATTAATTACAACATATGGTTGTGTAAGTATAATCTTATTAACAAAGACCAGATAAAGTAATAACTAAACATTAATTACAACATATGATTGTGTAGGTATAACCATATTAACAAAGACCAGATAAAGTAATAACAATACATTAATTACAACATATGATTGTGTAGGTATAACCATATTAACAAAGACCAGATAAAGTAATAACAATACATTAATTACAACATATAGTCGTGTAAGTATAATCATATTAACAAAGACCAGATAAAGTAATAACAATACATTAATTACAACATATAGTTTGGTAGGTATAATCATATTAACAAAGACCAGATAAAGTAATAACAATACATTAATTGTAACATATAGTTGTGTAAGTATAATCATATTAACAAAGACCAGATAAAATAATAACAATACATTAATTGTAACATATAGTTGTGTAAGTATAGCCATATTAACAAAGACCAGATAAAATAATAACAAGACATTAATTGTAACATATAGTTGTGTAAGTATAGCCATATTA